AAAAAACTACAATGAAGAAAAACTTGACGAAGAAATGTATTCAAAACGAGAGAGCGAAAAAAATGAGACAAAAGAATGAAAATCCACATAGATTTATTTTATATGCCGTAGTTGTTGTATGGTCGATAATACAATGGAATTGCATCCACACATCCCGAGCCATACATGAAATCCTATGCCAGACCAAAAACAAATGCAAAGAAAAATAAAAGTTCAAAAACATAACCAAGGGGAAGAGAGAAGAAAAGAAGATGATGTAAAAAAAGTGAAATGGAGAGGGAGGAAGAGAGAGAGCTAGAGATAGAATTGCAAATCTTTTTATTCGCAATGATTCAACTATCTCTCGCATTCCAACCACTGTTTGAAATGCTGTGCTTTTTGAATGCTATTTTTACCTCGTGTACCACACCACATATATTGCTGTTGGTTCTGTTTTCCATGCCGCCTTGAACAACGTAGCGCTCGCTCGCTTGCTGTTGCACTCACACGTTTTGTTTGCCATGTGCCTTTTCCTTCAATTTGGTTTGTTTGTCTCATAAACGTAAAACATTTTCAAAACAATGGATATAATGAATATAAATACAATGAATGGAGTCGAAAATGTGGCGTTAGTGTTTTAGTAAGAGCATAATGTATTACATATGCTAAAATTTGTCGTTCGAGTGTTGTGCACACTCTCAGAGGGTCATACGGAACATATGAAACGCTGCATGTATGTGTTTTTCTGTGTGTGTGAGTAGAACGGAGAGCAAAACACGAACGAAACAAGAGGAAAAAAAGCACATTTGTATGAACATGAGTAAAGGAGAACTAGAAAAGCATCAGTATGTCTAGCTAGACACGGTTTTTGCGCTGAAATGAAATGATGCGAAGACAACCGCTTGATATTACGGATACCATTTCCCATATCCCAACGGCACACATCAACAATGAGAGCGAACACGAAAAATTTAAGTAAACTCTCACTCACAGCAAGAAATGGCGACAGCAAAGCACACTAGTACGCAGATATAACACCAGAATGAAATGGGAACAAGAAGAAAAAAAATCGCATAATCAATTTTGATAAATCTGTCGAAAACTTGCACAAACTTCTTAACACCTGAACACGCAAAACATCTCTGGCGAAACGAGAAAATCAGAGGTGTTGCAGCAAATCGAGCAATAAGCAACAAAACGACAAAATTTAATCAATTTCTGTTAGCAAAGAAGTTGGCACGAGAGGAATGGTGCGTGTCAGAAGTGAAAACGAACGAACTGCTGTGATGTGTTGCAAAAACCGAAGTCAGCGAAGAAAGCGGAGCGGGAGTAAAGAGGGCGCGACGCAGAATAATAGATAAAAAGGGCATTCCAAATTATTCAAATGTTTTACAAGGAATCATAACAAAAAAAGGTAGCCGCATCCGAAAGCATCGTCATTGTTTTTTTCTTCTCTACCGATGCTTTGTCATCTGTTGTAACGTCACAAGTACGTCGTGTCAAACGAAAAATTGTCACTTAATTTTAGCATCAATGTGACGATCGACCAGCATTTGATGCGTATATGTGCTCAGGCTCACACCCTCAGCTGGGTAAGTGAGGGAGAGAAATGTAAAAATAGCCCAACAAATTGGCACTGTTACCGTTATCAACTTATCGAACAATGAACAATTGGACAGGCCGAACAGGCGGAACAGGTCGAACAGCAGAGACTGAGAGTGAGAAACGCCCCATTTATTTATTCATTTCACATGATATACATGCTATTATTTGCAGCCGAATGAAGTGTATTTCTCTCATCAGAAATTTTTATTGATTGCTTTTATGTGTTAAAAATGAAATGAATATGAAGAAGCTGTAGCTGAACCCAGCCAGCCTTGACCATTTGGCATGGCGTGGCATGGCATGTTACTTTCTCTCTCTCTTTCCCTTCCTCTCGCTCGCTCAACACGATAAATCGAATACAATCCCAGCGAACATAGCTTGAACAGAACAACGACAAGCAATAAACGACCAGCTAGAACTTGATGGTATATTGTTTTTGCTGCTTTACTATTGACAGCAATAAAAACATTGACAATCAGCAGAACACTGGCAATGATTTATTGCATTAATATTTTATAAATGCTGCAAAAACATCAATAAAATTTTTGTGGTACTTACGTATCACACTGGCCGCCGTTATGCCAAATGAAAAGTGCGTAGGTTGGATGGAAAACAAAGCTTTCGTTTGATATGGGAAGAGAAAGAAGGGGGAAAAAAGGAAACGAGAAGAAGCAACAAAGACAACATAAACACAAACAGAAAAAAAATACAACAACCGAAAAAAAAAGAACAACAACATTACATGGGAATGCCAATCGATGGAAAGCCAACATGTAATATTTTACGTGCACAAAGTTAATGGTTTTGGTGATGTAATGAGATTTCCGATAGCGAAAACTGTTTGTGCAGTTCCTCACCAACGAACGAACGGGCCATCGAGCGAACAAATGCGCGCTCGATTGTTCGAATTATTAACGATTAATATAATTGCTTTTATCATTTCCCTGTTGGTGATTCGATGCTATTAGCATTGACATGATAGTGATTTCATTTGGCTCTCCACTTCATTTCGATCGATCAGTCGACTTCGGTTTTGGTTCAGTTTTGTAGCGGCAATATTATTTATTTATTGGACGCTGTCGTTCGCATTATCCCATTGTGGCCCTGTGCCATTAATTCGTTTGCATTGATTACTTTTTGGTTTGGTTCTATCTCTCTCTCTCTCTGCCTGTCTCTCTCTTTCACTCACTGGATGTATGCATACGAAATGGTAGGGTGTGTGTGAGTGTGAGCATTCCTTTCGAAATGATTAACGATGACGACGCAAAGATATCCACGTTACGAATATAATTACTTACACATTTTTGCCTGGCTGGAAGTGTTCTGAATTGAATTTATATCCATTCGGAAAGTAGCGTGAAAACAAAGAGGATGGCCTCGTGTTATGCACGACGACTTTCCAACAGAAAGAGAGATGGCATCAGATGCGGAGCTGTTGAACGGGAAAAATGAATGGACATGGTTCAGCAAATCGATCGATTTGATATAAAATCAATTAAAAGGATTTCATTGGTAATAATGCTTGCCATGCGGCTTTTGGATGCAACAATGGTTTCACATTGAAAAAATCGGCTCTGATATTCAAGCACAATGGTTCCAATTGGAAATGAGTTGCAATGATTTTTATTTCTTTCATGGCAAAGCCGTGTGGTTGTTTCACCTATTTTTTTGTGTATTCTATGCAAAAATGCTTGGAGGTATAAAATCCGGCCTCGACTATTATAACGCATCGATGCGCTCCGTTCATTCGAAGAGAGTAACTGATTGTCAACATACATTATTACTGTTATTAATCTACGAAGTGAAAGCAGTTGGTTAAGCCTTTGGAATTATCGCTTGGATTATTTTGAACGTCCACAAAAATTCCATTCCAACGCAAAACTATATCTTCTTTGTTGCTGTTACTCCAGCCACCGTTCTTTACATCATCCACGACATTTCGTTATTAGGTCCATTCAAAAAAAAAGTGAACCGAAGTGTTCTAGTGCGATTAGAATTCCGACCGATAACGATAAAATGTAAAAATTAATCAAATGTAGGCGCTTCAAACAAAAGACCACTTTCAAAGGCTTTTTTTTACAATTGGACTCATCTAATATTATCGTTGACGTACAGTCCACTAAGGAAAAGCCTAAGTAACTAATGGCTTTTTAGCAATTGAATTTCACGATTTGGAATATGGAATTTCTATCAGGATTGAAAGTTTGATAAAAATTGACATTTTCGATATCATTTGATATGAAAATTGACATTTTTGGTTCATGTTTTGCACGATAACGGTTTGTTTCGGAAAGTTCGAATTCTTTCTTTCGAAGATATCGATTCGATTGTGCGTCATCTTATAATCAACCGACCTGAAGAAATCATAACAAAAAAATTGGTTTTTCTAAAAAAAAACTTTGTTTTTTTTTTACGAACGAAGCGTTTTATCGTTGTGAAAACCATGTTTTTTCTTCGAAATAAACGTGCTTATCGATTGATTGTAACCACTGTTTTTTTTGTCGTTACTTTTACGTATCTTTTAGCTAGTCAAGTCCCAAACACCTGATAAACACTTGGAAACGGTTTCTAAGCAACACTGTTGCTTGATAACATCGCATAATCTATCAATTACTCAATCAATATCATATATCGTTTGATAGGGGAAAAAAAATTGGAAGCAAATTGTTCGGTTATTTTATTCTTTGAACATGCATATCAGGTTCAAACATCAAATCAATGAGCTACTAAAATTCGGCTATTGACCAACCAAAACCAAATAAGAAATTTATATCGGCAATTTATGGTTAAGTGACAATTTGAAGTTCTCTTACTCTCAAATGGAACATTCGTGTTCTATGCGGATGTTTTGTTAAAACGTTGTGTGTGTGTGTTACGATCGAAGAATGTGTGTGAGAGCGAGAGAGAGAAAGAGAGCGAGGTTGAGATGGTGAGAGAATATGTGTGGAATGTATGTTGCTGTATTAAATGACTTTATCATAAGTACTGTCGAGTTTGGAGCTTCTCGGATGTCTTAAGTATTCGTCCCGTTTGTATTTCAATCATAAACAACAAAAATGTTGTACTGTCATACATGTGCACGTTGAATATATGCACATACACACGAACCGCATCACATTCATCGTTTCATTCATTTGCTTGTATTATCAACTGCTTGGCTACTGAATGCGTGTTTGCATGTGTGCTTTTGTGTGAATGGGCAAACCATTTAATAGCCACAAATAATGTGTACAAATACTTGTATTATGATGACAATAATCATACGATTTGGTTTTAAAATCATATGTACGATGTACGATGTACGATGTGCGTATACATCAATATACATACAAGAAGCAAATGCACTCTCAGTTGTTTTCCGGCTACTCTCTTTCAGCTGATGTTATACACAAAATACTCTCTCTTTCTCTCCCAGTTGATTGTTCGTCGATCACTTCACCGGACCGGATCGGCTGACCACACAAATTCTTACTAAGTTCATTAGAAAAACCAAAAATTTATTTCGGTTTTGGGTTAAAAAAGAAACTTTTGCCTCCTTTTTATTCCCGTTTTATTTTTGACGTAAATATCCAACCGATTTGAAACTGATCAGCAGATTTTTAAGGTATTTTCGATAAAATTCATATTTGAATTTTGTTTATTTTAGCAATTTAAGACATGCGAACCCAGAATACCCACTTTTTGACTTGTCTGTTTCAATGAAGTGATTCGGTTATTTCCATGAAACGATTCATTAAATTCATAATCAGCACATAATTTAAATGATGGAATGTCAATCGAGCGTAAAGTAAGGAGTGCACTTAGTGTGGAATGTTCATTCGGTAGATGTTCGTTCTAAAATGCTGCATTCGCATTTCTCTTTGTAAGAAGAATTATTCTAGTTTCTATGGTGATTCCATTTGAAAATAGTGCTATAAAGCAAATAATTTTTATAAATGAAAACTCGTTTGTGAGACTGCTTACTGGCTAGCGACATGAAACGATAACCATTTAATTGCGAATTGTGAGTTTAAAACTTATTTAGAAAAATCCGTTTGCTGAAATTTTGATTCCGCCTACATGTATTTTGATTTACCCCAGCACATGCAACAATATGTTTTACAAAAATGCTCTATTGCCACATATTTGCATTCTCATCTGGATGCCAATTCAGCAAGCGTTCGTTTAAGTAAAAATAGTTGAATATTACACTATACGGAAATTGTATTGAAAAAAATAAGTTTTGCAACGGAAACAACACGGGTCGATTACGTACGTATTCGTTTCAACAATCTTATCAAAGACATAATATAGAAATGACATAAACACGTGCCGAAAAAAGATATGCCTATGGCTATAGTTTTTTTTTTTTTTGAAAGAAAACAATCGTAATTTCCTTATAATAATAAAAAAAAAACTTTGGTCTTGTTTGGCCTCGAAAACTGATAAACATGAATTTGATTTCCCATTGGGCATAGTCAACAATGCAATGGCTACTAAGAATAGAAATGTGAAAAAATATTATCCACTTCAAGAAATCGAAGTGAAGAAAAAAAAAACGATAATGAAAGCAATGCTGTAAAATGTAGAAGGTTCCTAAAAGTATATCTTCTGCGGTGCAATTGAAAATCAATACCAGAGCTCATTTGCTGGGCATTTACTCCTTTCAAACGGCAACAATCAAACAAATCATTACCACTAATCGAATAGTCGGTAATTTATATTGATGTTCATAGTAAATTAATAACAAACAATAGCCGAAAGTGCTTTATGGAGCAAGCCAAAACAGAAAGCGAAAAAAAATATGTTTCGTCTATCTCATGAGAGTATCGAATCGTATTGCTGTGTTTTATAATATAGCAACGCTTATGCCAGACGAGATCATCAATAGATGTTATTGCTTTCTCTGTATTTTCGAACCATCAAGAAGTGAAAATATAAATAAATTGAAGAAAAATACTACGGCCCATATAAAAGAAATATATATATATATATATATATATATTTATATACGTGTATATCAGAGAATTACGCATAGTCCGTCCATACGCAAGTGTGTGAGAGAGAGCGAGCGGTAAAGACAGCCCGTACACGCACGGCGTGACCGGGAGTTTGACAAATACACAAAAGTACGACAAACTGACTTTTATTACCGTTTCAATGAGAGAGCATTCACAGTTAACGAAACGAAACAAGCATCTCAGAGAAAATAATCTGTCGCAAAAAGAAAGCATCTTCAGAACATTAGTAATGCTCAAGTTGCGTCGCATGCATCCAAAATGTTAAGAGCCTTTTGAATAATGCGAGTGTCATTTATGAGATTTTATTTATATTTATTTTATTTTATTTTTCTTTTCATTTTATTCCCTTTTGCTCGTCGCTCGGTCGTTACTGTTTTCGAAGGCATACACAAAACATGTTTCCCTCTGCAGTACCGCATATCAACGTGGATTGTAAACGTTTTACAAATTCGAATTCAAAATGTTTGTTGCGTTCTCTCTCTTTCACTATCTCGCTCTCCCACTATAACGACTGCTACTGCTTTGTCCTCGTTCGTTTGCTCCATTGGCTTGTTTGTTTCCCGTTTCGTTTGACAAACGCCTCGGCTCGTCTGCCGCATAACGGTTGGCTTACTCGTTAATTCATTCAAAAGTTTTTCTAACGAAAATGATATCATGTAATTTGGCAATAGCACAAAGGAGTGTCATACCGAAGAAATGAGCATACATATCACTTCAAAAAATGCCTCCAAATTTCATAACCATTTTCGAAAAGTCGCCTTTTGCACAATCGATGTTTACACATTTCATTTATATGCAAATATTTTGATTTTCTACTGTTGAAATGCAAAGTTTTCCCACACGCATACACAAAGATTCAAAGTATATCAATAGCCAGAGACGAGGCTAAGTGAACGCCTCTCATCAAAATAAATATTGTGCTACGCAAAAAAGACAAACAGCACTCGCTACACACGCACAAATAGAAGATCAAAGCAAGCGCTTTGCTACGTTCAAATATATAGTGAATTAACCTTTTATTTTTCATTTGTTTGTGTTTTCAGTTTTGATGACCTGCTGAACAATACTCATTGAATCCGATTTTGTTTTTTACTTTTTTTCTTTTTCCTCGAAAATTGGTAAAGTATGGCAACTAGAAGCGTATTTATCATCTGGCTAATATGCATCGGAGTTACTTTTCACGTAGCACAATCGGCGGTCAGGCATAGAATGACGGAACGATGTCGACGTGTATGGAATGAGGTCGATGAAAATAACATTGTTGCCGCACAAGCTGTGTGTAATTCACGAGCAACACTTCATGATTACTTTCGGGATCGAAAAGATCTGCTGAATTATGAAGTGGAATCGAGTTTCGGTGCTGATATTAGACTGACCGACAACGAAGAGCTGGCAAACAAAATCATTATGCAAGCCAAAGAAGATGAATACCGAGTTGGTTTCCTCCGGCCATACCTATTCAATCCGGCTCGTCATATTTTTGAAGTTTTAGACGTCATCAAGCAATCAAAACTGTTTCAAATCATACAAAAAATGCCGAAGGGTGGCATTTTACACGCTCATGATACGGCATTATGTTCGGCAAATTACGTGGTTTCGCTAACTTATCGGCCGGATTTATGGCAACGAACATCAAGCCAAAACAATGAAATTGAAGGATTTTTGTTTTCACGTGAACAACCAAAAATGCCGAATACGAACCAAAGCGACAGCGATGATGATTCGCAATGGCGTCTCGTAAAAGATGTGCGTGATGAAATGGGCGCTGAAAAATATGATGAACACATACGAAAACTGTTTACATTGTTCGATAAGAACGTCAATCCACGCATACAGTTCCCGGACATTAATCAAGTTTGGGAACGCTTCATGGGTCTGTTCATGAAAGTTGAATCAATTCTTACATATGCACCGGTGTGGAAAGAGTACTACAAACACGCATTGAAAGAGATGCAAGAGGACGGTGTTAGTTATTTGGAATTTAGAGGAACTCTACCGAAGGTATTTATTGCGCATAATTGTATCCCTTGCCTTGTCCGAATGACTTAGCAAAAACTTAATCACACAATAGTCACATTGTTTCATTCATTTAGCTGCTTTGTTTTGATGCTGCTGCTGTTGTTGCTGCTCAAATGTTCTCGTCCATTGTATATGTTAACCTCATTTCGAATGGTTTGCTAATTTAATTTGTTTTCTCTTCTTCTTTTTTCTCTTTCTCTTGCTGCATTTTTAATTTGAACCTAATTCGGTTGGTAACTGCTCTGCCATTTACATGGTAAAAAAGCTCTACGATTTAGATGGCAACGACTACAATGATGAGGATATTATGGAAATTTATATTGAAGCATTGGATGAGTTCAAGCATGAGAATCCATCGTTCATTGGCTCGAAATTTATTTATGCACCACTTAAGCAAGTGTCGAATGAGACCGCAGCCACCTATTTTGATGTTGTTCGTCGACTGCATGTGAAATTCCCACAATTCTTGGCTGGTTTCGATTTGGTTGGACAGGAAGATACAGCACCGGGTTTGGTTTCGTTTGCCGAACATATTTTACAATTACCTGACGACATAAAGTTCTTTTTCCATGCCGGCGAAACCAATTGGTTCGGCAGCGTCGATGAGAATTTGGTAATTGACATTTGATTTTGTTTGTTTTTCTTTTCTGCGCTTTCATCACTTTTAAATGAAGTCGTCGTTCAAATTTCCTGTTTTTTCATACTAATTTCTATTTTTGTTTTATTTTCTTTCGTTTGCCTTTTCAATGCTATTCTAGATTGATGCAGTTTTGCTTGGTAGCCATCGTATCGGGCATGGGTATGCACTGGCAAAGCATCCAAAAGTAATTGACCTTGTCAAAAGCAACGATATTGCGGTCGAGGTGAATCCAATTTCCAATCAAGTGTTGAAATTGGTCGACGATTATCGTAACCATCCCGCATCAGTATTCTTAGCTCAAAATGTGCCCGTTGTTATTTCATCGGATGATCCGTCATTTTGGGAGGTGTCGCCGCTTTCACATGATTTTTACATGGCATTTCTAGGAATCGCATCGCGTCACAGTGACTTGCGAACACTCAAGAAATTCGCCATCAATTCCATTCAGTATAGTTCACTAGATGACACTGAGAAAACGGATGCATTTACCAAATGGCAAATCAAATGGGACAAATTTATTGAAGATTTGGTCCACAATGAACTATAATGCATGCAGAAGCAAGATGATGAAACAAAATACCAATATTATCAATCGCAACAAAAAAGAAACTTGAAACCTATTTAAGAATTTGCCCAAAACAGATATTTGTAATGTGCGAATAAATGATAGCCTTAAATTCCATTGATGATTTATCTTATTGCGTTTGTGAAGAATGGAAAATAATAATATTGCGTTGCGAGACTTGAACTAAATCAGTGCCAACGATTTTGTGTTTCACTGAATATGTGCATCATGATTATTTTTCGTTCTCATTCTGTCTACTTCCAACAATTCAAGCCGCATTTTTTTTTCTCTCGCCAGCCATGCTTCATTTCCACATAAACTCTCCGGGATTTGACGTCAATATTGACGTAAGAGCAAGATTTTATTGTATTCATTTGAAACGTTCAGATATAGATCCATTTCACGGTTACCTATCAGAAATTTCGAGTTAATAAATCACACGCGCTGGTCATTAAGACTGTCAGTCGATTGTCAATCGGTTTTACTTAACAACAGTATTTGAAACTGCAAAACGATGGTCTAGACATTTATTGTTTTTTTTTTCAACATATTGAACTCAATCTAGTTGTTTCACTTCCTATCAGTTTTCAGTTAAATTGTTGACAATTTGAATGCCCATTCAATTTGTTGTTTTGATTTGCTTGTTATTGATAAGAAACTTTAATTGAAACGTAAAAACTAATGAAATTGGTCAACTAAAAAAGGCTCTCGGAAATCGCCTATGTTGCTTTTGCCTAAAACGTCAATGTCATTAGCAGCATTGAAATTCTACTGATGCAAAAGCATTGAATTGTGAATTGCTTTGACGTTCTAGGCTGAAATTTCCGAGAGCCTGACGTAACAGGTGTTCAAAATTATTTATACAATCCATATCGATAATTAAAATTTCCACTCATCACTGCTGCCTCAAACACTTCAGTTTTATCAACACATCTTAATTGTTCAGTTTTCGGAGAAATAATGCAATCATTTTCACGTTAAAGTCTTCCGCGCGCCCTTTTTATATCGAAGTGTATAAATACTTAGATTTTTTCGGAATAAAGCGAGTAGAAGGTGTGTTCAAAATGAACAGATTGATTTTATGGTTATTATGTGTGGCAGTAGCTGCTCGTGTGGTGAAGCCGGCAGCAATATTCAATCGTGATCCAAGCTCTAAAAATGATCACGTTGAAAGTGATATGGTTGATCAAACCGAGGAAATATCGCGTGCACCTTTTGATTTATCTCAGTATCAACGCAAACGCACCGAATTACTCAATTCCGAAATGAAGGACGTTTTTGGAAGTGACATCACATTGAGCAAAAAAGAGGAAGCGGCCAACAAAATTATTATGAAAGTGAAAAAAGATGAGCTGAATGTTGGTTTCCAGAAACCGCATCTATTCAATCCATCGCGACATATTTTCGAAGTCTTAGACGTTGTCAAGGAATCGAAATTGTTTCAAATCATACAAAAAATGCCGAAGGGTGGAGTTTTACACGCTCATGAAACGGCCTTGTGCTCGGCGGATTATGTGGTTTCATTGACTTATTGGCCGGATTTATGGCAACGAACGTCAAGCAAAAGTAATGAAATTGAAGAATTCAAATTTGCAAGCGAGCAACCGAAAAGCATAAGCAATGCCGATGGTAGCATATGGCGCCGGGTAAATGATGTACGTGATGAAATGGGTGCTACAATTTACGATGAATACGTACGCGGTCTGTTTACGCTCTTCGATAAGAATGTTGATCCTAGAATACAATTCAAAGACATAAACGCCGTTTGGAAACGATTCATGGTCATTTTCATCAAAATTGCTCCAATCTTAACATATGTACCAGTTCGCAAGGCATATTACAAGCAAGCACTAAAGCAGATGTATGACGATGGCGTGCAATATTTGGAATTCAGGGGTAGTTTGACCAAGGTATTTTTCTTGAAATTATTCATTGAAATCAAATGTTTGACGCCTAATTTTTTCAATTCTCACATATCAATGTACAGTGTACATACGCAGATTGTGGCATTTACTTTGATATTAGCATTTGCAAGCTTCTATATTAGTATAGTATTTATTTTTATAGTATTTTTATACATAGTTATTATTATGTATAATTAGTTTTCTATTGTGTATAAATTACGACGTACCACCCAAATAGCTCTATGACTTAGATGGGAATGATTATTCGGAAACAGATATTCTCGATATCTATATTGAGACGTTGGATGAGTTCAAACGAGATAATCCACTATTTATTGGCTCAAAACTCGTCTACGCGCCCGGAAAACATGTGTCAAATGAAATAGTTCTCCGCTATTTCGACGCTGTGCGTCGATTGCACAAGAAATACCCTCGATTTTTGGCCGGATTCGATTTGGTTGGACAAGAAGATAAGACTCCTGGTTTGTTGTCATTTGCTGAGCAAATTCTAAAATTACCTGCCGATCTGGAATTTTTCTTCCATGCTGGTGAAACCAACTGGTTTGGGAGCGTCGACGAGAACTTGGTAATAATCCGATTTTTTTGTACCTTTTCCACTTCGTTTTTAATGAACTTGTCACTATACTATATTTTCGCTTGGTGCTCATTCGTTTTCCGTTTTGCTTTCTCCATTCGTGCTCAAGATTGATGCGGTTTTGCTTGGTAGCCGTCGTATTGGTCATGGATTTGCATTGACCAAGCATCCAAAACTAATTGACCTTGTCAAAAGCAACGATATTGCGGTCGAGGTAAATCCAATTTCCAATCAAGTGTTGAAATTGGTCGACGATTATCGAAATCATCCAGCGTCGGTGTTTATGGCGCAAAATGTGCCCATTGTTATTTCGTCAGATGATCCATCATTCTGGGAGGTGTCACCGCTATCGCACGACTTTTACATAACTTTTCTTGGTATTGCATCGCGTCACAGTGACTTGCGAACACTGAAGAAGCTCGCAATGAATTCCATTCAGTACAGTTCGTTGAAAGGCTTCGAAAAACTTGAGGCCTTCATAAAATGGGAAATCAAATGGGACAATTTTATCGATGATTTGATACAAAATCAATGAAAAAAAAAAAATATATTTGCAAGACAAATCAAACCAAAGAAAACTTAGTTCAAGACACTTTAGGATAATGATTGAATAAATGATGCCATCGATTCCTTTCGATTTGATCGAGACTTGTTTTTTTTCATGTGTTTTGAAAACACAAACAAAGAGAAGATAAAGAATTTGAAGTAGAGATTCCTACACAAAAGGATTGAACGTTCAAAAACATCCGTTAAAAACGGCATCGATAAAAAGAGATAATAGAACCTTCGAGCATCCTGATTGTAGAACGTGTATTGACGTCGGAAAAGGGTGTATTTTCGTTGCATTGAATTCACCGTCATTATCGTGACGATCAAATTTGTTTTGGCCCTATCACATGTAAACGTCAATGATGACAGAATATTACAATGGTTCATCAATTGTGAGACTTCTTTGCGTTTGATAAGCACAAACGTCGCAAATCATATGAAGCGAACGCGTGACAGTAACTCATATGGCTTTCATTTATATTCAAAAGTAATGATAATAAAAAATGAAATTTATATGACTTTCTTTAATGTTGACAAACAAATCCGAAATTGAAATTGAGACCAATCAATCTTCAAAGTAATTTTATTTCGGTGTTCATTCATTCAACGATGAACTGGCGTCTTTCAACAAGGAAAAGAAAGGCATTGGAGTTTTTGTTTCATTAGTCTGTAATCTGCATTGACATTGATTTTCATTCTCTTTAAGTATTTACGTAAGACACAGTGTTTTCGATTCGATGCGAGTTTACCGAAAGCAATATTAAATTCAATTTAACTTGTACAGCACTTGAACGTAGTTAAGCATGATAATCGATATTTTTAATGAGTACAAAACACATAAATTCAATTTCACTGTCGTTCAACATTTGCTCAATGTTTCTGTGATGTTTGGAGTTTTTGTCAGAAATTTCAAAGCCAGCCATGTTGAATCATTCGATCTGCAGAAATTCTGGTTGGATTGAACGACAAATCCATAGCTGAGAGATGAGATATATTAATAAATTTCGATTAAAATCGTTAAATTCAGAGCATTGAAGTTGCTGGCTATGTAGTGCTGCTGGTGAACAGATCTGTTTAACAGCAGCTATTGGTTGCATTCATATTCGTTGTGACGCGCGTTCGTTCGTCTCCCGATTCTCACACACAGTGTTTGTCCCTTGAATTCACACGGAAAGAGAGAGAGACGCACATACAACACACGAGATACACACACATAGCTGCCTTTCGTGTCTCGTGTGTTTTATACGCTTCTCTTTCTGTTTCTGTGCGAATTTCGTCAAGTACCAACGAACGTCAAAGCAGAATTCAAATTCAACGGTTTTCAAATCAAACACTATGCAATCGAATGTTTCCAATGTTCTTTTGGAAAAAATTGACGACCAAAAACCAAACTTGTGCAAATGCGATTAACATGAAGCTTCCAGAATCATATGTTTTTCTCAAAAAAATTAAACCTCAGAAAATTTGAAGAAAATCGGAATCGATTTACGGCTATCTTGCATGCAAACTTTTCGAAATTCCGACAAAAATGACCGATTTTCACTAAAAATTGCTTTTAATTCAAGCAAATTGAAAATCAAGGAAAAAAACAAAAGTACGGACCACAATACGACAAGTTCGTGATTACGAATGCAATTCTTTTTATTTATTACTAAACAGTTAAGGTTTTCCTCGAAATTATGAGTGTATTCAAAAGTTTACAGCTTTTTGCTTAGTATTCGTGTATGATTTATCAACTTTTCACATCATAACCGATATAGTCGTACAAAGCAGCAATATTGATATGGTTAAAGTTTGACAAAAATATATTGAAATTAATATTCTACATGACAATCGAATACGGAACTCAAAGGAAAACATATGATTTTTCAATTGATTTCACTTGTGTCCATGGCGTCTTTTTTCTTCAACCTCCTTAAGATAGTCAGCGACCTCCTTTTCATCTGAAAAATAATATAGTTTGGATCACATTCTTTTCTAAACAAAAATATTCAACATTACTTTTATTTATAGCAATCTGGTAAGGTGTCTGACCAAAATCATCTGTAACAGTAAGACTGGCTCCATTGACAACAAGGATTTGAACGATCCGTAATTTGCCTGGAGAATAATATCGACCAATGAGAAAGATTAAACCAATTTCTTATTAAGTGAAAATATTCAAAATTACCAAATTCAGCAGCCGTATGAAGAGGTGTCCGCTTACAGAGGCCCGTAGGATCAACCTCGGCTCCTTTCGAGATGAGCATTCTAACGACATCCCCGTAACCTAAAAAAAAACACCAGACATTGAAAAAGATCAAACCAAATTCTCATTTATTGAAAATAGGTACCATTCTTGGCTGCTAAGTGAAGAGCTGTTTGAGAATACAAGTCTTTAATATCAACTTTGGCTCCGTGGCTGATAAGCTTTTGAGCGACAACCTTGTGTCCTGAAAAGTTACACCGATTAATGAAAATGATCAAACCGATTTCTTATTTTATGAAAATATACAGTGAGCGTCAAAAATTTTGGCACAGTTAGTTTTTTCAGTTTTTATATATATTTATTGTTGTTTTAACAAAATTTCTTTTATGGTTTTATGAAACGAGTAGAAATATATAAATTCATGATCTTTTTTTCGAATTTAACTTACCGTTACTGTAGATAAATGACAAAAATCAAAAATCACGCGTCAAAAGTTATGGCACACTTTGGGAAAATTGGTCAAAATCTTGAATATCTCATAATTAATTGTCGGTATTTGGCTTTTAAATGAAGATGGTGACCTAAATCAAAGATTCCGGTACTTTGTTTTGCATTTCAATGATGGCCATAAGTCATAAAGCTGGCCGGCATATGGCCAAAATGTGGTTTTTTGTG